CCCGCAACACACACACACAGATGCGCACACATGCAGAACACACAGAAATAGATGCTTTCACCCCCTTCTATATACAAACTCTCTCTCAATCACACACACACACACCCTGTCAGATCAGTAATAAAGGTGTATTGTTGTCCTGCTACAATGGCCTCTCCTACTCTCCCCTCGCTCTCCTGCTCTTTTCTCCTTGGTCACCCCTTTTCTTCCCTTTTTGTCAACGTCTGTACCCATTTCTCCTCCTCTCTACCCCCTCCATTTTCTTTCCTTTTCCTCATTTTCTTTCTTTTCAACTCTTTCTTTTTCTCCCTCTTGTGCTTTCCCTTGCCCATTTCTCCTCTCCTCTCTCTCCTCTCCATCTCTGGCAGATGAAAGCAGAGATCAGCTCTAGACTTTGAAGTGGCTGAGACGGGCACACTCCCACTGGTTTAGCGATTAGGAGGAGGGTTGCAGAGGTTTTAGGAGAAAGGGTGAAAGATGAGAGGAGTTATGAGGGGAGAGAAGAGGAGAGCAAGGGGGAGTGAGGAGAGGTTTTAATTGTGAACATAAGAGGAGCTGGGGTAGAGAGAGGGGATGGAAAAAGGGTGAGAAGAAGAGGGGAGGTCTGAGCTGAGATCCTAACCCAAACGTCATCATTCAGGCTTTACCATGGCAACCTGAGGAATGCCTTTTCAAAACCTCAAGCCTGACTGCATGTGCAGGGAGGGGAGGAGCGTCACTCACTGTCGTCCATCCTGAAGAAAAGCCTTGAGGCCCAGAACCTGATCTTTAGTTTACTGCTGCATTCAGTCAGACTCAAACCCATCAGTAGTACAGACCACCAGTACTTACTCAGACAACAGCTGGAACTGAGAAAACTCCAAAACCATTCTGCAAACACTCAACTTTGAAATTTCAGTCACATTTTATGAGGGATTTTACCCTAAAACTGAATGGGTGAAACAAGACTAAGCCACCTGGTGCTCTTCTACAGCAGTACAGCAGCCTGCTGCTCTGTGGATTGTTGCACTAATCTTTTCCTCATTGCTAAGGACAGTGATCCCCAAGAAGGAGTACTTCTGTGGGTGTGAGAAGAGACTGAAAATAGTTGCTCATCTGAAAACAATAGCAATTGAAGAGCAGTCAGCCATTTCTAGCAGCTGAAGTACAAATAAAAAGACCAAATACAGACAGTGACAATTTCAGGATCACTTTATCTCATGTGAGGTAATTATTGCAAACATAGTCCACTTTTATATAATTAATAGACTCATATAAAATCCATCCAATGTATTCAAAACAGTACATTTGGAACATGACGAGAAGAGTCTGTGGAAGTAGATGTCATGCTGATGTTGGAAACCATGGGTTTATATAGATCAGTTTAATATTTAGACC